GCTACTTGCACCCCTTGAAAACAATAAACTGGTTATGAACTAACAATGAACTATTATATTTTCCTTTTATTATGTTTTTTTCTTAAAACAGCTAATTTGTATAAAACTGTGACCCTTAAAGGTCAGTACTGCACCCCTCTGAGGTCTGCGCCCTAGGTATATGCCTAGTTGGCCAAATGGTAGCACCAGCCCTGAGTGGAGGTAAGATATCATATTGAAATTTCCTGTCTCCAAATGTGGAACTTCTTTGCGATATTTGCCAGTGCACATTCCATGTATCACGGCACCATTCCTATAGTCCCAAACCACCAACTAAATGTAACCAAACAGCAGCAACAAACTTTACTTTTCCTTTAATATTATTAATCATTATGTTGTCATTTTTAAATAAAATATCAAATTTAAAACTATTGAAAAGTTAAACTTATTTAATGTACTGTAGAAAAATTAATCTGCCTAGCTTTAGATAGTATAATTTTGACTTGATACAACAATGCGTGCATCAAGTCTTAAAGTATATTGATGTGCAGTAACATAATTCAAACTCGACAAGACAAGATAAAATATTTTAAATTGTATTTGATCTTATATTAAGTATAACTTTAAAAGGCAGAGCTTATACACTACATTTTAAGTAAAATACATCTATGACAGACATTTCTGAAATGGTTTAAACAAGGTAAGAATAACAGAGGTCACCAGTAATATAAAGTCAAAATACTGATGAAAAAAATTTATAAAAAAAGTACTTGTATATCACAGTGGCTTTATCTTCATAATGATAGTTTTGATTTGATATCTTGGATCACTGGTTATGACCAAACAATTCCAGCTCTTTGCATGGTGTAAAAGTAATAAAGTGGTAAGTAAATGATTGAAGAATGTCAATACAATGGTGATAACACCTTTTAAAATGGAGTAAAATTAATAAAGAAAAGTTTTTAAATAATGAAAACTAAAATTTACAAAAATATGTTCATGTAATTCCTCTCTAAAATCATTAGAATTTTTGTCACTGTGCAACTGTCAGAAAAGAAATAAGCACAATTTTGTATGGATGTTATACTTACTGTATAATTATGTAATCCCTCATATAAATATACTTATGTGTACTTATTTTACACTTAAAATTGCATACCAAAATACAAATACATGGTTTGACCATACATAATTTTTTTTTCTATGTTGAAATCTCAGTTGTATGAATATTTAAAGTAATGTAGATGATAATATATTACCTTAACTCATTTTTTAAGAACACTTATAAAATATTGTTATGATAGCAGAAGTCACGCGATGCTGGAAGCATGCGTGCTGGAGTTTCTAGAAGGATCATGACTTTTCTTGGCAACTCTAGTCTGTTCCAGGCACCCTCTTTTTTAGTATATAAGCCCAGCAAATAAAGCAGAGATATAATTGCAGATATAGAGACAGATAATTGAGTCAAGCGAGCAGTAATGATCATAAGTTAAGTGCGTGAATCTTTGTGAATTATAGCATGTGTTTAAGTTAAAGTGACTGTGGAAATTCTGTGTATTGCAAAGTTGTATTGAGAAAGAATAAACTAGTTTTATTTAAGAAAGGACTTGTACTGCTGAAGTTCTTCAGGAAGAATTTATAACAGAAATTAACAAACGACCAGAGACGTAACAAACTGGTGTCAGAGGGTGGGACAAAAAAAAGAAGATGGAAACGAGAAGTGGCAAATCAAACTACAGCTTAGCAGATTTGATGGCAGCAATACAAGAGTGGCAAAAGAAACAAGAAGAATGAGAAAAGAAACAAGAAGAGAGATTACAGCAGTTGTTGGAGTAAAAAGAAAAGAAACAAGAAGAGAGATTACAGCAGTTGTTGGAGTAAAAAGAAAAGAAACAAGAAGAGAGATTACAGAAGTTGTTGGAGGAAAAAGAAAAGAAACAAGAGATATTACAGAAGATGTTGGAGGAAAAAGAAAAGAAACAAGAAGAGAGATTACAGCAATTGTTGGAGGAAAAAGAAAAGAAACTAGAAGAATGAAAAAAGAAACAAGAAGAGAGACAACAGCAGTGGCAGCTCGAACAGTAAAATAAACAAGAGAGATTACCTGCATGGTAGAGGGGTGTGCTTGCTTCACTTGTATCTTCAGTTGTGGACTGTCCAAGGCGTCTACAAACTGATCTCTCAGCAACAGCTTGAGGACATTGGGTGGTGCAGTTGGGTAGGCCTTGTGTGCCATACTTTCCAAATCCTGTGACAGCTCTTGCAGGCTCTCCCCTTTAGCACGGAATCTAGTCCTAAACCTAGCCCTGTAGACTTCGGACTGATTTTGAGTTCCATATCTGAGTTCTACAGCAGCCATCAGTGCTCTATAGTTGTGCCTGTCGTCTGCTGACAACTGTCCAAGTATTTCCAGTGGTTGTCCCTTCATGCTCGTCGCCAGATATACTGCTTTCTGCTCCTCTGTCCATCCATACATTTCTTCCAGGAGCTCAAATTATGCTGTATATGCTTCCCATGGTGTCTTCCCATCGAATTCCTATGGCTTCCTTCGTACTAGATCACCCCTATTGCTGACACTCATGTCTGGAATGTGACTTCTGGCAGGACTGAAGATGTCTACATTAGGATTTAGCTGTGGGGTCTGGAAGGGGCTTCATGTTGTCTGGGGCTGGTTAGGTTTTCCCTGTGTAAAAGACAATAAACCGTCCTTTAATGTATTTAATTCACTTTGAAATTTAATAATCTTTTCCATTTGTGTATGCTGGCTTTCTTTCAACCGTTGGAGACTTTTTTCTTGTTTATTTTCTTTCTCCTCCAACCACTGCTGTAATCTCTCTTCTTGTTTCTTTTCTCGTTCTTCTTGTTTCTTTTCTTTTGCATCCAACAACTGCTGATACAATGGCCAGAGCTCTCGAATTTGAATCCTATGTTAAGTCCAGCACAGAGGTACCGAGGTTGGAACAGTCATCTGGATTCAAGGACAGAAAAGGTCAGCTTTCAGAGAGGTTTGAGAGACTTTGTTGGCACTGTAACAAACCTGGGCACAAGAGAGCTCAATGCTGGCAACTTCAACACAGGGAAAATGCCACAGCATGAAAGGCTGCTACCC